ATCCCACTAAGCCACAGGGCCCAGGATTATGAGAGTGGGCAGCGTTTGATTTTAAAAGCCACCGCTGCTGCCAATGAGCCAGCCATCGAGCTGTCGGCGGCGGTGGGGGCATCATTCCGCTGGCGCTGCGTTGGGCACGTTCATGAGCTGGCACCGCGCCCACCACCCTCTCCGTGGGCACCGCCGCCACTGCCGATAAATAAAAGAGGTGAATCTTGATTTGAAGCTTTCGTGACTGCAGGATGGTTCTTTCGGTAAAGTCACGTAGGTAGAAAATTAATAGATCACGACGTCTCGATCGCAACACAAGCAACCGTCATCAGGTGAAACAAACACAGCAGGAGAACTGCTGACGTTTTCCTGCTGTGTTTGTTTCACCTGATGACGATTGCTTGTGTTGCGATCGAAACGTCGTGATCTATTAATTTTCTATGTACGTGACTTCACCAAAAGAACCAAAGAGTTTAAAAGAGGCGACTGCCGAAAACAAGCAGCGGGCAAATTCTAAATGTTTTAACAGTGTAGGCCCACTGAGCCTATATAACTCTTTTTCAAAAGCATCCTGGCTATCACAAATGATAGCTCAACGAAGTGGCTTATCACGTGGAAATTTGGAACATCCAAATACTCCCAACGCAAGTTTTAAATGCGAAGGGAAAAATTGGAGGACCCGGAGAAAAATCCACGCGACCACCGGACAAGAGACTCGCAAACTCCAAATATACAGCAGCAGCAGGCATCAGGGATGGGATTGAACCCACGACCTCCTGTATACCAGGCGAGGGAGATAACATCTCGCCACTGTTCGTCCATAACACTGCGTGTCCTCAAAAGGAAATGTATTTAATAGACGACGTTTCGGGCAAATGGCTCTTTAGCATCGCACAAATGCTTAATGCGTGCATAAATGTACGCACTGTAAAGAAGGCCATTGCCCCAAATGTCGCCTTTCTTTTAAGGTCTCACACAGTGTTGTTATTGACGAATGTGTTGAGTTCTGTTGTTGTTAATTGTGCCTGTCCACCACTGCAAATATAGCAGCATCACCAAATAATGTGACTACATATTGACACTTGAGCTCTTGATTTAATCTCTTGTGATGTGTATTACATTGTCAGATGGATTGCAGATGTACGTCAATGTCAGGTATATTTTACAAAGCCGGGTAGGCAGGCAGCTGGGATGGTAGGCAGCTGGGTTGGCAAGTAGAGATGGGTAGGTAGGTGGATACTTAGAAAGCTATTCAAGCAGGTCATAGGTGTATGGGTAAGTCGGTATGCAAGCAGGTAGGTATGTTCGCTGGTTCGGAGAGTGGGCCGGTCGCCAGACATCTGGGTACAGTGAGGGAAAAAAGTATTTGATCCCCTGCTGATTTTGTACGTTTGCCCACTGACAAAGAAATGATCAGTCTATAATTTTAATGGTAGGTTTAATTGAACAGTGAGAGACAAAATACAACAACAAAATTCAGAAAAACGCATGTCAAAAATTTTATAAATTGATTTGCATTTTAATGAGGGAAATAAGTATTTGACCCCTCTGCAAAACATGACTTAGTACTTGGTGGCAAAACCCTTGTTGGCAATCACAGAGGTCAGACGTTTCTTGTAGTTGGCCACCAGGTTTGCACACATCTCAGGAGTGATTTTTGTCCCACTTCTCTTTGCAGATCTTCTCAAAGTCATTAAGGTTTCGAGGCTGACATTTGGCAACTCGAACCTTCAGCTCCCTCCACAGATTTTCTATGGGATTAAGGTCTGGAGACTGGCCAGGCCACTCCAGGACCTTAATGTGCTTCTTCTTGAGCCACTGCTTTGTTGCCTTGGCCGTGTGCTTTGGGTCATTGTCATGCTGGAATACCCATCCACGACCCATTTTCAATGCCGTGGCTGAGGGAAGGAGGTTCTCACCCAAGATTTGACGGTACATGCCCCCGTCCATCGTCCCTTTGATGCGGTGAAGTTGGCCTGTCCCCTTAGCAGAAAAACACCCCCAAAGCATAATGTTTCCACCTCCATGTTTGACGGTGGGGATGGTGTTCTTGGGGTCATAGGCAGCATTCCTCCTCCTCCAAACACGACGAGTTGAGTTGATGCCAAAGAGCTCCATTTTGGTCTCATCTGACCACAACACTTTCACCCAGTTGTCCTCTGAATCATGCAGATGTGCATTGGCAAACTTCAGACGGGCATGTATATGTGCTTTCTTGAGCAGGCGGACCTTGCGGGCACTGCAGGATTTCAGTCCTTCACGGCGTAGTGTGTTACCAATTGTTTTCTTGGTGACTATGGTCCCAGCTGCCTTGAGATCATTGACAAGATCCTCCCGTGTAGTTCTGGGCTAATTCCTCACCGTTCTCATGATCATTGCATCTCCACGAGGTGAGATCTTGCATGGAGCCCCAGGCCGAGGGAGATTGACAGTTCTTTTGTGTTTCTTCCACTTGCGAATAATCGCACCAACTGTTGTCACCTTCTCACCAAGCTGATTGGCAATGGCCTTGTAGCCCATTCCAGCCTTGTGTAGGTCTACAATATTGTCCCTGACATCCTTGGATAGCTCTTTGGTCTTTGCCATGGTGGAGAGTTTGGAATCTGATTGATTGCTTCTGTGGACAGGTGTCTTTTATACAGGTAACAAGCTGAGATTAGGAGCACTCCCTTTAAGAGTGTTCTCTTAATCTCAGCTCGTTACCTGTATAAAAGGCACCTGGGAGCCAGAAATCTTTCTGATTGAGAGGGGGTCAAATACTTATTTCTCTCATTAAAATGCAAATCAATTTATAACATTTTTGACATGCGTTTTTTCTGGATTTTTTTGTTGTTATTCTGTCTCTCACTGTTCAAATAAACCTATTATTAAAATTATAGACTGATCATTTCTTTCTCAGTGGGCAAACGTACAAAATCAGCAGGGGATCAAATACTTTTTTTCCCTCACTGTAGGTGGAGAGATTGTCAAGTAGGTAGGTGTGCAGGTAGCAGAGAGGTACAGTAAGTATGCAGGTGGGGAGACAGGAAGGTCGTAAGGTTTGGCAGGTGGGTAGATGAGTAGGTAACCCTCATAGATGAGTAGGTAACCCTTATAGATGAGTAGGTAACCCTTATAGATGAGTAGTTAACCCTTATAGATGAGTAGGTAACCCTTATAGATGAGTAGGTAACCCTTATAGATGAGTAGGTAACACTTATAGATGAGTAGGTAACCCTTATAGATGAGTCGGTAACCCTTATAGATGAGTAGGTAACCCTTATAGATGAGTAGGTAACCCTTATAGATGAGTAGGTAACCCTTATAGATGAGTAGGTAACCCTTATAGATGAGTAGGTAACCCTTATAGATGAGTAGGTAACCCTTATAGATGAGTAGGTAACCCTTATAGATGAGTAGGTAACCCTTATAATACTCGTTGAGCTCTGTGTCCTGGGACATTTGGAGGCAAATACAAGATAAACAATTATTTGTACAGTACGAAAGCAGTGTAAAACCAAGGTTGATCATTGGTAACCGTAAGAGCTTGCAAGAAAAGTTACGTTTTCTATCGAGTCATGCCAGATCTAATTTGCTACAAAAATTATTCATCATTTCCTCAGCGATCTTGAAAATGAAAACAGTGACATGTGCGAGCAATGTACTTATGTGGCAGATGATATTCTTGAGTAACTGGCGTTTTATTGGACAATATCGAACATGACGGATCTCGCTCAAACAAAGAATTACATCATCGTGCAAAATCTTGTCAGATTTCGGTTTAAAAAAAAAACCTGAAAACCATAACATCGCTGCCCATTGCTATCGCAGGCGGTGACTAAACGTCGTCTCAGTCATCCCACGTTCACAGTCGCGCGGCAGCCTCCGCCGTTTACCGCAATCGTGCCGTTTCAACTATGGACTCCGCTAAACCCTCGTCGGAGGAAAGCGTTAATTAAGACCCGGCGGGCAAGCCGCTGATTAAGAGAGCTCTTCAGGAGCAATCGCTAAAGATCGCACGCGGCTCGGATCATGAATCTTCCTTGTGAATCGATGGATTGGACCGTGGGGGAGGGGGGGCGGGGGGGGAGGGCGGGTGGGGGAAGAGCAATGACCACTCAACCTCATCACGTCCGCCACCGCCGTGCCGATCGATGACGCTCGTGTCATCGAAATAGGCCAGCTATTGCTGGCCTATTTCGGGGTTGTATTTAACCGAGGGTTTAAATTTAGAGCTCGCGTCGATATTGAAACAAGCGTACGCACGTGCCTGTCCGTGATACTTATTTACCTGTGCGAATCCGTGCGTGTGCACGTGCCTGTGTGTGTACGTACGTGGCTGCTTGTGGATTCGATTCCCAGCCACGGTTAACATCGCCGACGAATCTGTTGAACCATTCCGGGGCCTTGCTTAGAATTTGGTCGAAACATGTAAACGTCAGCACTGGGGAGACAAAAGGCAGAATGTTTGAAACGTTGGCAGCGCTGTTTATAATTTTAGCGCACGCTCGGTCGTGGCTGTCACTGCAGGGTCCTGTGCCAGGAGTGAGCGAGGTTTTGTGTGTTTGTGCTTCGTTGTCTACCGTGGGGGAGCGGTGGCGCAGTGGTTAGCGCACTGCACTGCGAACCCGGCTACCTGGGTTAGATTCCCGCTCACGGCCACCAACACCAGTGACGATTACCTGATCCAGTCCAGGGCCTCCTGTAGTTGGGAGAGACATTTACAATTGCAATTTAGTACTCGAATTGTAAATGTTGTGGGTTTACTCTCCAACACAGCGGTGTGCCAATGTAGTAGCTAATTGGTACATCTTGGTTACGTGACAAACCCTTCCTAATTGGCCGTGTCGGGTGGTGGCGGCGTGTTTAACGACACGCCTATATATATACGCGATCTAACTTTTGTGGATAATATCGGTCGGCAGAAGGCTACGTGTTGAACAGAAAAGATGCATCGACGGCCTGCCGCCCCCCCCCTCCCCCCCCGCCCCCCCCCCCCCCCCCGTGTCCTGTGTACCGTTGTCGAGCAGGCAGCATACTGACGGTGACGGGCCGCCTGACGTTCACGAGCGCCAAGTCGATGGAGATCGAGGTGGGCGTGGAGGCCAACGCGCTGCTGGGGGACGGCAGCGAGGAGGAGGCCGAGGCGGAGCGCGTGTGTGCCGTCAGCGCCTACTTCACCTACGTGTCGCTCGCCAAGGACGGCAAGCCCCTCGGTGTACCGCAGCTCAAGGTGAGGGGTTGGACCGGGGCGGCTCCCCCCGGCGAGGCCAAGCCCATCGGTGTTTATGAATCCCCGGCGAGCGTTTTACCTTTTTGTTCATCCCCCTTTTTTTTTTTTTGGCACGCAAGCCCCGGTACAACGCGTCGGTGGTGCCTGGGGAGGGGGACAGAAACACCCTGGTGGCGGGGCGGGGGGGGGGAGTTGGGGGGGGATCTTCTACGTTTGGCCGTTGTCTATAAGGTGGGAAGAGGAATGCTCAGTGCTCACCCTGAGCGGGGTCTTCCATCGGTGGGAGGGGGAGGGGGGGGCTAACAGCTTATATATGTGGGGGGGGAGGGGGGGCTAACAGCTTATATATATGTGGGGGGGGGGGGGAAGGATGCCCCGGCGAGCGTTTTTACGAGGTCGATGATGGAGGGTTTCGAAAAAAAGTCATGGAGTCTGATGAACGCGGTCCGGGTTGACTTCGTTAGCGAAAGCTCGAACCGAGTGGCGCGTGCAAGAATGGAATCGTCGGTTGATATTGATTCTGACGGGCGGCGGCGGTGGTGACCACGCACGTGGCCTGTAATCGCGGCGTCGAGGGGGTGCCATAATACCCTGGCTTGCCCAGGAGAAGACGGTACGCCCAAAATGTGTGGGCTCCACCTGTTGTGTATGTATGTGATTGAGTGTTTCCCCCTCTCACGCGTGGGTTCTCTCCACGTGCTTAATATGTAGAGGACCATAGAGCATGGGTGATTATGTTATTGGCGCCGGCTCACCGCGTGGCTGCCACCTTTCACGCTCGTCTGTGGTTCATCCCGGCACCTCCGAGTCGTTCTCTCTCTCCGAGAGTGGGGAGTGTAGACTGTGCGGCGGCGGCGGCGGCGCAGGGTTTCAAGTTGTCGTTTTAATTATCCTAATACGTTCGTAGGTCTGTGTGTATCTTAAGCATTGTGTTTTTTTTATTCACCCGTGCTGTATACGGTGGGTTCACATAACCCCCCTGCAAGCCACTGCATTTGTCATCGGCCGCGGTCAATCCATTGCTGGATGAAGGCCTCTTCAAAAAACCGCCATCGCCACCTCTCACGAGCCCACGATGCAACAATCGACCGAGCACCGATTCACCGAGCGCCAACACATGAACTGAATTCATCGCTCCATCTCATCGGCGGACATCCTCTCAGGTGTCTTCCGTTCCTTGGCTGTCCGCTCCGTGTTTGTTGTTGACCGTCGTCCACCTTCCCCTTCAGGGGCGACACGTCCTGCCCGAGCCCGCTCGCCCTTCTTAACAGTCTGGATGTAGTCATGGCCGTGAGTGCATTTAACAAACCAAAAAATTATTCAGTTTTAGGACTCCTGATTTCCCCAGCAAACTCATGCCACAAGCATGATAAACATATTGATTTTATAATATCTTTATGTACAGCAAGTGTTTTTAATGCTTTCAGTCATGTATTGAGCACACAACAGCACAGCAGCATTCACAGCTGATGTGAGCGAGGGATACGCTTTAAAATAGAACACAGGAGCTATGTTTATGAAGAACAGCTGTTTAAGGCCATGCGCCAGTGTTATTTTTATTCTCACACATCTATTTAACAAAGCGACAGTGACTTTGTCCGTAGCGTATTTTTAGTAAGGCTTTACAATTTGGAATTGTCTATCACACCGTGGCTCGGTACAGCCAACCTAATTTTGATATTCATCCAGGCCATCGCAATTGAATATTTGGCCTCGTCCTTAATGAGTATGAATACACAACTTACTTGCTGTAAATCTCGACTTAAAGCTTTTCCTGATGACGACCGCTTGTGTTGCGATCGAAACGTGGTAATTTTTTGTTATTTTCTTTGAACTTGTCTACGTGACTTTACCGAAAGACCCAAAGAATATAATTACTTGCTGTACTGTCTCGCATTATGATCTCATTGTGATCCACCGATTTCACCTCCCTAAGTGTTGGAACACAAGTGCCGTCGCAGTGGATGGCATGCATCATTCTCATCATCTTTTAATAATATGCATGAACTTGCTCTAGCACTAGGTGCAGTGTCATCGCACCAGCATAGCCGTGTACCCAGGAAGGCAACCGTGTGCACAATCGTTGTGATGCTCGTGTGTTGGTGTTGGAGTCACAAGTGGTATGACAGACAAACATTCATTTAAATACATTAGCAATGGAAAATATCGTAATTCGGACGTGCGTCAACAGGCGCCACGAGCGAGCAATCGCAGCCAACCAATTGCTCCGCTAAACATTTTGCCCGCTGTCCAGGTCAAATCACGCCCCCTCTCAAAAAATCGTAATAGATTACGCGGAATAAAATCAACTATTGCTCAACCTAGAGTCAGAAGCAGAACGGCGGTCGAACAATCGCTCGACAAATAACGTAATTATATTCGCCGGTGCATCCGGCGTACGAACGCCGTCGCCACCGCCGTCCTGCTGCGTCAGCGCCGTTGGTGTGAATAGCGGCGTTCCCTAAACGAAAACGTCAAGGTGAAGGGCGGTTGCAGGGCGAGGTCTGCTTCTGGCCACTCGATCGCTGCAGGAGAAGGGATCTCCTTCCGTTGGGCCCATCCCCCACACTCCCACCCCACCCTCTCGAGGGGGGAGCTATAAAAGCCGGCAGTCACCCACAATTTAGCCCAACGCAACCAATTTGCCCGTTGCTGCGGTGCGCGATAATGATCGTAATTCCCTTCTTCTTATTGCCGCTGCCGCCACCGTGGCGGCAGCGGCAGCGGCGTTACAAACGAAGAGGCAGCGATGATCACATCGAGCGCGATTGCAATTGAAGGGTGCAGAACCCGGCGAGTTTGGGTTATTTTTACTCTGGCTGCACGTCCCCCGTGGGAGATGAGATGTGAGAAGCGAGTCTCTCGCTCTCCCGAGCCCCAGGGCTTTTGTGTCTCTTTCCATTGATCGAGAGAGCAGCCTCGGAAATGTTGGAAGCCGAATATGGATATAGGATTTCCCATCGAGTAACAAAATTCCCCGTTTGGATTTATATTTTCTCCCTCCCACACATTGGCCGTTTTTTTTGTTTGTTTCTGTTGTGAAACGGTACCAAATCGCGGCCGATGTGCACACCCAGTAGCCAATCTGGTTGGAATCAAATGATTTTGTGGCGATGCAGCTGCCATCCCCCTGCAGCTTTTGCAGTGGTGCCCAATCACAGTCAATCTCAACAAAACTCAAGCTCACCGCTGAATTCGTTGATTCCCCCCCCCCCCCCACCATTCTGGTGCGAGGTTAACGTGTGGATTTTTATAAAAAAGGTGGTGTCGCTAAGACACGTGCAACGCACCTTCCCAAAGACGAAGATCCCCCGATTAGCCTTAACGGACTGTTGGTACAAGTGCTGTTCGTGAGTAGCACCTATGAAGGCCGACACGGCACACGAGGGAGAGGGTGCCCAACACCACACTCTTTGTCTCCCAAGAGGTGATATTTGCACATCTCATCAGCTACATTGAGTCGACCGACAGGAAGCCCCCAGGACTGGTTGGTCATAAGCGGGAATCGAAGTCGGGTCACCGGGTTTGTAGCGCAGCGTGCTAACGACTGCGATACCGCTCTTGACGCACCTTCCCACGCGCACGCCAGGGGTTCTCCGAACACCATCCCCTTCTTAAAACTAAAATTAATTTACATCCCTTTGTCGATCCGCTGCTGGATAAGGTGGCCGCTGAAGGCTTTGTTTTCAGAGAAGCGCTGTGAAAGAGTCGTCCCCTGACACTGCTCTGTGAGATTTCCAAATGGTTTCCTTGCCTCCTGACATTTTGGCATTGCCAGTAGCAGTCCAGTTTAAAAAAAAGTTCCGAACACAGACCAACTGATATCCGCGTTATATCGAATAGGCAAAATGAGAGGAAATTTCAGCTCAATTAGAAAGTCAAAATGTTGTTACGTGCAAATTTGTGAATAATCTAACGTGATGATGAAATCACGGTCACTGTCGAGGAGCAGCAAGTAGTGGGGCCGTCGCTTGGAGAGACGATGGCCGACGGAGAGGCCTGGTTACGGGGGAACGGCAGCCCAAGGAGGGAAACGCGCTGGGGAGGACGGCCAGCGTGGAGACGGAGCGGCAACGCGCTCTGCTCGCGCGTGCAGGAGCGAGACGGGACCGCGTGGCGTCTGTATCAACGACGGGAGGCGACGGAGAAGTGGGGGAGGCCAGCCGTGGATAGATCATGGCCGGCGGTGATGTTGATGGTGGTGGTGGAGGTGATGGGCCGTGAGAATGACCTTCGAAGGGCGGAAGAGAATGGAGGATAATATTCTGGGCACTGCCATGAGAGCCGTGCCAATGGCAGCACGAGGTCAGGCACTTGGATAAAAAAAAATTGCGAGTCACGAAAGGTCAGTATTGATCTCACAACAAACAGGGATTTTTACAGCATCGTTTATTATAATGCGAGATTAAAGTGATGCATTCCACGGCATGCTGTGACTTAGAACTCCACTTCAAAGGAGGTAGTTTTACAAGGGTGGAAACGGTGGCGCAGTGACGACACACGTTCCTCGCAACAAGAAGGAACCTGGGTTCGATTCCTGACTCGGGTGTCTCGGATGATGTTTTGCAACTCGTGATCGGCGAGCTGATTCTGTAATCTTCACGGAAAGACGAAGACGTTAAAAGTCAGATTTCTTCGTTTGAATCTAAATAAATTCGCGTAATAACAAAAACAACATTTCAATCGTGAATTATAGTGCTTGTGCAGTTAGTTTCATAAGTCTTATTTTAATTAACCGCCACGTTTGTTTTAATCTCCTTGATTACAACAAACTGTTCTCCCTCCGTTACAAACTCGCTGCGATTTGCTTCACCTCGGCCTCGATGTTTATCTCCGCGCATCTCCGTGCGGAGTGTTTTCTCAACTGCGCAGTCTCAAAGGAAAGTCCCATTAGCGAATCACACACCTGGACTGTCAAGTTATAGCAATAGTCTCGAGCCCCCCCTTTTCCCCCACGCCCCCCCCCTTTTCCCCCACGCCCCCCCCCTTTTCCCCCACGC